GGCTCTCGATAGGAGCCCACCCATACCTATGAGGAGAAAGGGTGAGGACCTCAGGGTTCTCAGCTGTCTCCCAAGGAGGAACCCAGAGTACAAGCCCTTCCACCCTACTTGTCAGGGGCTGTCACGTAAATGGGCTTGTTCTCTTGTATGACACATCCTCCTGACCATAGCTGAGCCACTGCTTTTTCCCTTAGAACCAGTGTTCTTATTATAATTAACTTTCCTACCAAATTCATCCCCTGCTGGCAGATTGGCATGGAACAGCTAAGTGGTACTGCCACCTGGTGGCCAAAGAAAAAAATCCTAGGGGCTTGAAGTAGTCTCTAAATGGCTCCAAGACAGCTTGGTCCTTGGAGACTGAGAAGAGCAGGTCCAGAAGAGCGCTCCTCAGTGAACTGCCGCAGGGAGGCATCCTTCTGTAGCATCCTGGTAGCCTCATAGATCTGGAACTGGATCACCGACACCAGTTCCATGTCCCTTTCACAGAGCTGCAGAGCCTGAATGCCAAGAGCCCCCAGAAGCAGGCGGGGTAATGGGCCATGTACGGAACCCAACTCCCCAGGGTTCCAGACATCCTCATTCCATTGCTCTGCAGCTCTCGTGACCGGTGAACTGGCCTCCTTTTCCCACCTCCTAATCCAACAATCAGTGAGCCTGGGAGGAACCAGGAAGTAAGAAACCAGAGAAAACGAGGTATAAAACAGCGGGAGCCCCGCAGTCAGGCTGTAGGGAAGTGAAGGGAGCCATGGCTTCCTCTCACTGCTCTGCTCCACAGGTCTCCCCAGTGCTGCGGGACTTCCTGGAACGGATGCTGGTACGGGAACCCCAAGAGAGAGCCACAGCCCAGGAGCTCCTGGACCACCCCTTTCTGCTGCAGACAGGGCTGCCTGAGTGCCTGGTGCCTCTGATACAGCTCTACCGCAAGCAGACCTCCACTTGCTGAGTCCACACCCAGGGTGCACCTGCCGCCTGCGCCCACAGGCAAAGGACGCCGGGCAGCCAGTCCACCGGCAGGGCCTACCTGCCTCGTTCTCTCAGTATTCTCTCCAAAGATCGAATGTGAAGATCCAGCCCTTCCCTCTTGCCCTTTTGCCCACCGGGCCAGGCCGGACCTGCCCCTCAGTCTCACTCCCCGTTGTCCCAGTTGCCTTTGGGATAGCAGTGACCCCTTCTGCAGGTTTGGCCCTTTGTTATTTGCACAGGGATGTTTCTAAGGACGTGGAGAGTGGTGCTCCTGGCCACCGGCCAGCAAAGCTGACAGGCTGCTGCAGATTTTTAAAGGCAGTGTCCACGAGTGTCCTGGGCCACCAAGAGGGTGCATGCCCCGTCGTCACACGGATACTTGCTATTCTCAGCTACAGCTTCAAACCCCAGAGTCCCAGAGGGCCACAGGGAAGGATTTTATTGCCTGAATCCTCCTTCCTCCCTTGGTCTGACTCCTGGAAGCCCCACTTGCACCTGTTTCCTGTCTGTCTCCTGGCAAGCCTATCCCCAGAAAGCCTCCACAGAACTGTGAATTGCCTGTGTGTAGGCCTTGGGAGTGGCAAGGGGGGATCTTCTGAGAGAGAGTGTGGTTGATGGTAACAGTGACTCCATTGTTTTTCAGGATGGAGAAAACATATTCTCTCTCTCTCTCTCTCTCTCTCTCTCTCTCTCCCCCTCCCTCCCTCCCTCCCTCCTGTTCTCTCTCTCTGTGTGTATGTGTGTGTGTGTGTGTGTGTGTGTGTGTGTGTGTGTGTAAAATCCCCCAATAGCCTAGGCCTTTCCAGTTATCCACAGAGAGCTTCAGAAGAGTTGCCCCCCCAATCTTTTCTACCAAGCTCTACTCTGAAGGGGCCTGCTTTTGGGGCCTAGTTTTCTGCCTCTCGAGTCCCGTGTTATTACCTGAACAGTGAAGGGGTGTGTATTATGTCCAGTCTAACACATGCTGGAACCCTTGAAGTTTCCTAGTTTCTCCCACACTGAGACAGGAATAGTCAGGGAATAAACTTTGTTTTACCTGGCAGCAACTTCTCAGTAGCCAGACCATCAGGGACCCTCTTCGGAACCCTGGGCTGGGACAGAAAGGTGAGCCACCTCCTGGGGGGGGTCCCTATGCCAAGGGTTAGGTACTTTCCATGTGAGAACCAGCTGCCCCTGCAGATGCTTACCTGCCCCCTTGTCCTCCCTCCCTCCCCACCTTCCTGGCTGTTGTGAGACAGGGAATGCCAAGGAAGAACTCCAGTGTCTGGACCCTATCCAGATAATATTTTTAGATTCCTCTGCTCCCTGATGACCTGCATTAGGGCAAAAAGAAATTTGCAAGGTCTTTTTTTTAAGGGTCAGAGTTTTAAAAACAAAAGCATCTTCCCTAGAAATTTTTGTGACTTGTTTGCACTTGTGCCTGTTTTAAATTAAACTGAATGTTCCAACCTCTGGTTTTCCATTCTCTGGGACTAGAGTCAGGCTTTCTTGGAGCTGGATACCCTTGGAATGGGTGCTTGTTGGGCTCCTCTGGGGTCACTTGAGTCCACAGAACACCCAGCTTCTCTGGTGTCTTGTACACCTAGACTGAGGGCAGAGAAGGGGGGGGACAGGAAGTGAAAGGCCCTGGGAAAGCAATGAGAGGGCTCTGGCTAGGACTGAGCCTACTGACACACAGGGACTGACCCTGTCAACCCTACTGACCCACAGGGACTGACCCTGTCAACCCTACTGACCCACAGGGACTGATGCTGTGAACCCTACTGACCCTGTCAACCCTACTGAACCACAGGACTGACCCTGTCAACCCTGGGGAACCACAGGGACTGACCCTGTCAACCCTAGGGAACCACAGGGACTAACCCTGTCAACTCTACTGACCCACAGGACTGACCCTGTCAACCCTACTGACCCACAGGACTGACCCTGTCAACCCTACTGACCCACAGGACTGACCCTGTCAACCCTACTGACCCACAGGACTGACCTTGTCAACCCTACTGACCCACAGGACTGACCCTGTCAACCCTACTGACCCACAGGACTGACCCTGTCAACCCTAGGGAACCACAGGACTGACCCTGTCAACCCTACTGACCCACAGGACTGACCCTGTCAACCTCACTGAACCACAGGACTGACCCTGTCAACCTCACTGAACCACAGGACTGACCCTGTCAACCTCACTGAACCACAGGACTGACCCTGTCAACCCTATGACCCACAGGACTGACCCTGTCAACCCTAGGGAACCACAGGACTGACCCTTCAACCCTACTGAACCACAGGACTGACCCTGTCAACCCCACTGACCCACAGGACTGACCCTGTCAACCCTAGGGAACCACAGGGACTGACCCTTCAACCCTACTGAACCACAGGACTGACCCTGTCAACCCCACTGAACCACAGGGACTGACCCTGTCAACCCCACTGAGCCACAGGGACTGACCCTGTCAACCCCACTGACCCACAGGACTGACCTTGTCAACCCTACTGACCCACAGGACTGACCTTGTCAACCCTACTGACCCACAGGACTGACCCTGTCAACCCCTACTGACCCACAGGACTGACCCTGTCAACCCTAGGGAACCACAGGACTGACCCTGTCAACCCCACTGACCCACAGGACTGACCCTGTCAACCCTATGACCCACAGGACTGACCCTGTCAACCCTATGACCCACAGGACTGACCCTGTCAACCCTACTGACCCACAGGACTGACCCTGTCAACCCCACTGACCCACAGGACTGACCCTGTCAACCCTAGGGAACCACAGGACTGACCCTGTCAACCCTATGACCCACAGGACTGACCCTGTCAACCCTACTGACCCACAGGACTGACCCTGTCAACCCTATGACCCACAGGACTGACCCTGTCAACCCTAGGGAACCACAGGACTGACCCTGTCAACCCTATGACCCACAGGGACTGACCCTGTCAACCTCACTGAACCACAGGACTGACCCTGTCAACCTCACTGAACCACAGGACTGACCCTGTCAACCTCACTGAACCACAGGACTGACCCTGTCAACCCTACTGACCCACAGGACTGACCCTGTCAACCTCACTGAACCACAGGACTGACCCTGTCAACCTCACTGAACCACAGGACTGACCCTATCAACCCTACTGACTCACAGGACTGACCCTGTCAACCCTATGACCCACAGGACTGACCCTGTCAACCTCACTGAACCACAGGACTGACCCTATCAACCCTACTGACCCACAGGACTGACCTTGTCAACCCTACTGACCCACAGGACTGACCCTGTCAACCCTACTGACCCACAGGACTGACCCCTTTCAACTTGGGCTTCTCCCCTTGCCTGGTCCCCAGGCTGCCCACAAAAGTTCCCTTAAATTTCTACCTGAAATAAAGCAGACCCTGTTCATTTCATAAAACTGAAGGAGTAAGTTTGAAATTTCAAAAGAGCAGAGAAGTGGCCAGAAACCAAGAAACGTGGGTTCTAGCCCTGGGGTTGGGAGGCGGGTAAATTTACCTTTTAGCTTTTAGTTCTTGCAGTGATTTGAGCTTCCTTTTCTGAGCTCTACACCCAAAGCAATACTCACTGAAATCACTTAACTAGGAGTGAGGAGCCATACCCAGCCCCAGCCCCAGCCCCGCCCCCGGCCCCAGCCCCAGCCCCAGCCCCAGCCCCAGCCCCAGCCCCAGCCCCAGACCCGCCCCCGGCCCCAGCCCCCAGCCCCAGCCCCAGCCCCAGCCCCAGCCCCAGCCCCAGCCCCCGGCCCCGCCCCCGGCCCCAGTCCCAGCCCCAGCCCCAGCCCCAGCCCCGCCCCCGGCCCCAGCCCCAGCCCCAGCCCCAGCCCCGCCCCCGGCCCCAGTCCCACCACTTTAGCAAGAAGCAGCCCTGCAGCTCTCTCCCTTCAGGCTCCAGCTGCAGAAATGTCCAGGGCCAGGGCTGATGAAGGTAGGAAGCACCTCCACATCAAGTGTGTGCTTCCATCTTTTCAAAGGAAGCCAAGAGGCCGGAGTGAGCAGGAAGGCAAAGAGAGGCCGGTTGTTCTCCAAATGGAATAACACTGGGTTTATTAGCTGCTCTTACCCCCCCCCTCGGCTAGTCCTTGTCACCACACGCATCATTCTAAACGCATATGCCAATGCCCTTTAGCCTTCTACACCAACCAGTACTGATCGGCAGTGGCCTGGGTGACTCTTCACAATGAGGACAATAATATGAAAAGCAGAATACACAGCAAAATCTTTTCTACAGCAGGAGGGAGCAACGGGGCACTACAGCCTCAGTGTACGAGAGCTGACAGAGGAAGTTTAGGGAGAGTGAAATGTGCTGGAGCTCTCCATGGAGCTTGTTAAGTCTGTGCAGACAGCAAGGCCCACAATTCAGTTCAGACAGGAAAGATCTGCTGCAGTCTTCCAAAAACATCATTTCAACCGCCCAGCTTCCGGCCACTCCGCAGAGCACAGACAGCAGCAGTGTTTACCCAGCAGAGATGGCCCAGGTAACATTCCCCCAGAATACATCAGCAGTGCCGAAAAGATAACAGCACCCTGATACCCAATGTGTGAGCCAAACTTCATGGTGCTTGAAGCCAAAATATTTGTATTCTCACACCATTAAAAATGTCATTAAAATTAAACACAGTTGAAAATGGAATGTGAGCGAGGAAGGGTTAGAGGAAAAGCAGCGCTCGCTTGAGTGTCCCTGCCCTGCCCTCCTCTGGCTTCTCAGACTTTGTGGCATTGTTCATCTGCCACTCGGGGGACTGAGGAGAGGCAGGTGTGTGCTAGGGGGCGAGGGGGTGTCTGTGTGTGTTGGGTGGGGTGGCAGATTGCTAGGGGGCGAGGGGGTGTCTGTGTGTGTTGGGTGGGGTGGCAGATTGCTCGCCACAGAATGGAAAGGAACTCATAAGAAAACAACGCACATGGTAAGGCAAGGCTCAGAAGCCTTAGGCGTTGGCAGCTCCGGCTGTTCCAAAGATAGCAGGGGCTCTCTCAACGGTAGCCTTGGCTCGGGAAATGACTTAGGGTTCTTGGTAAAGGGGTTCTGGGCACTTCTTACACCCAATGCTGACTTTCCTTGTACACTGTTCCTCACTTCATTGAAGTGAAGTGACTTCAAGTATCCGGATTTAATATTCTACAAGAGGAACACGCTTCATGGGTGCAATGCACACAGAGGAAGAAGTTACACATCAATGATCCCCGATAAAAAGCGAAGCCTGAGTTCCCTCGGCACAGCGAGGAGAGCACAGAGGTGCCACCAGGGGGCAGCAAGGATCACCGTCCAAAGTGTGGCCTCGGACGCTAGCGAGGCCAGGAACTGGGGAGGTGTCTGCGCTCTGCAAAAGCTGAGGCCCAGTTTCTCAGCACCAGCATTCTCTCTTGGCAGTGCCCTCGGAGTTACTGGTGAGAAACCCTCCCACAAATTCAACAGATCAACGTCTTAAAAAGACTTTATCGCCGGTAGGCGAGGGGCAACACGCTCACTCTTCCGGATTCACAAACAGAAACCGGAGATAAAGTCATGGCCAGAAAACTTCCACTGCTTTGAAGCAGGAGTTTTCACCACACCCTGCTGGTACAGCTCCACCACCAGGAGCTAACACTGACACTGAGTCGTAGAGCATGCGACCTGTCAAACCCTTTTCTTCGCCGCGGTGGAGGCGGTACAGTTAGTTGGACGGCAGGGGCGGAGAGGGAGAGGACAAAAGACTTAGCGGGGAGGGGGCCTAACTACCTCTTCGCGGTTGCTTCTGACTCACCAATCTGCCCAGTAATAAAAGCTGGAAGCTGGGCTGGGCTGGGCCTGCATCCCACGCGGTGGGGCACAGGCAGGGGTCCTTGGTCTCGATCAAGCATCCATCATCTGCCCTGCCCTCCATTACTAACCCAGCGAGAAGCAGGAGACGTTTAGCAGCCCCCTCCTAGGCTCCCTCCGGAGTTTGATGTAATTTAGATCCGGACCTGCGGTTCGTGTGGGCTCCCGACTCCCGCGCGCCGCCGTTTAACGTTGCAAACACTCCAGTCAATTATCCCCCTCGCCGAGGTGCTATTTAAAGAGACATTGTCAGGTTCTTAAGCCTCGGATCAGACCTGCTGCTTTCCGCCTCATACACAAAGGCTCAAAACACGAGTTCTTTTGAGGGTTGAAAGAAATACAATTAAGCAAATCCTTCCTAACTGTTCTACCCTCCTGGAGCACCCACGTGCAGAATGGGGGAGCTGGGAGGAGGAGGAGGAGGTGGGACGCTAAGTCCTTTCCATTTCAGGCCTCTAGGACTAAGTGGAAATATAAGAAAGGCTGGGCCAGAATGAGTGAAGCACTGAACCTCAAAGATGAAATCCGAACGCAATCATGCTGGGGGTCAAGCTGGCCCAGGAGCCAAGAGTCAGGCAGTAGGGGCTTGGAGGAGCAGCAACCCTATAATATCGATGAAGTCAGAAGATGATTACTACCCAGAAAGGACAACTGGTGAACAACACCTAGTCGGGGTACAAAGCCCCAAAATACTCACTGCCTTGAAGGAGGAGTTTCTACCTCAGAAAACCTTAACCACTGGATTTCTTCATAATCAGCCCTCTGATCCAAAAAGCATTTGGGGCGACTTCAATCCTCCCTTTCCCCAACACTTTCAGCGAAGGGAAACTTTGGTAGTTATCAAACTATTATGGTCAGCAACTGTAGGCACGGCCGGCTGGGCCTTTGTTCTGCAAAGCCAGCTCTACTGTTGCCGGGCTACCAAGGTGATGGGAAAAGTTAGAATAAGTAGTGGATTTCACAGGAACCGAAGCAGAACCTAGGCGGTTGAGCTGCAGGGTCCACTTTTCTGGCTAGAAAGCTGAAGCCTACAGAAGTCTTTCGAGTCTCTTTTTTTTTTCCCCAGGACAAAAGAGTCAGGTTGTAGGAAGGTGAGACTTCTACACAGGAAATACCAAACAGCACAAAAAGATGAGATCTTTCTTAAATCTGGTGGAGGACTGGTAGAGGTCTCCCTTTATCTGTAAGGACAAAACGGGGGGGGGGGGGGCGAGCCACAGAAAAAGGGAAGGACTTGGAGAAAGGGTTATCTCAGTGGCCAGAGACAAGAGCCATATGGACTGTGCAGGTCTCGATCTTCATGCCCCTTACCGTTGAGGCTGCAGTACCACAGCCTCCGTGCCCGGCTGCCAAGGCTTTGGCCCAGGCACTGAGAAAGGCAGAGCGTTGGTCTCTAATTCCGGGCCACTCTCTGGCCCTGAAGCCTCCCCGACCAGGCTGGGAATGTCTGGGGCTGTGGACCGTCGCCGCAAACCCAGGCGGCCAGAGCCCGGGCCTCCCTCGGGATGAGGACTAAGGCCGATAGGGGCTTGCACAAAGGTCGGGGGCGCTCCCTCCAGCACCTCATGTGAGCGCCACCGGCCACTCCCCGAAGACTGGGGTGAGTTTGGTCGGGCCATCAGAGCTCCTGCCCGAAGGCGTGCTGTCTCCTCCTCCGTCATGGTACCCAGCGCTAGGCTCATGCTCCGGCCCAGCTCTGGCCTCTCGCTGCCTTGTGCCCTGTGACGGCCTGAGCCCTTGCCAGCAGAGGCAAGCTCACCTCCGTGGCCATGGCCGTGGCCGTGGCCGCCGGCAGCTCGCGCAAACCGTGCCAAAAGGGGCCGCGGTAGACGACGGGGACTGGGTCGTCGACGCTCGGGGCTGGGCGCCGGGGCAGGACGGCCAGGGGGACTATCGGAGTTGGAGCCCCGGGCCGCTGCGGCCGCGGCTGCCCGACCCCAAGGCCCGGTGAGGGCCTGCACACAGGTCCCGTGCCCGCGGGAGGCGGCCAGCTGCAGCGCCGTGAGGCCCGCACGGTTGGTGCGGTCAAGGCGCAAGCCCAGGCGGCGGAAAGAACGCACCAGGAACTCCAGCACCGCCCCGTGGCCGCACGCCGCCGCCCACATCACCGGGCTGTTGCCCGCCGAGTCCGCTGCCTCCGGATCGCCGCTGAACTGCACCAGCAGCTGCACGGCGTCCAGGTGGCCTCGCTCGCAGGCCAGACTGAGCGCGGTGCGGCCGCGCTCGTCCCGCAGGTTCACGGCCGCACCCTGCTCCAGCAGCAGCCGCACGAAGCGCGAGCGCATGGCGGGGTCCGGCAGCCCCACGGCCACCATGAGCGGCGTACGGCCCTGCTCGGCGCGGCAGTCGATGATGCTGCGGTCCAGCGCGTCCAGCACGAAACGGGCCAAGTGAACTTTGCCCGCCTGCATGGCCTCGAGGAAGGTGCGCGTACCCGCCCGGGGGCATAGGTCCTTGGGCTTGAGCATGGCTCCGGCGACCGTGCCCGGGCAGGCCGACCGTTCCGCACGGGGGCGCCCCTGTTCTCTCACCCTACGGGGCTACGGCCCCAGCCCGGACACCGGTACCGCTCTTTCCGCTCGTAGGTGGCAGCAGCCGAGGGTCCTGCGGTTCCCGCTCAGGTCTCCCTGCTGCTCCCTCTGTCTCGCAGCTCCGGGTTTGTCTTGCGCTCCTCCCCGGGCCTCCCGCCTGGAGGTGTGAGCCGCTTGCAACTCCTGGCTCCCGCTCAAGCTCGACCTCCTCAACTCGGCCTCAACACGGGGCCGTTTTCCCCGTGTCCGACGTCCCCTCGGACCTTCGTGGCTTGCAGCAGCGCCACTCACAGGCACCCCGGGCAGCCCCGGCTCCCCTGCTGAGCGGGTGACTCCCGCCTGGCGCGCCTGCCTCTTGCCTCAGCGGGGAGCACCGCTCCTCCAGCTCTCCGAGCCTCTCCCCACCTCCTCCCCTCTTGCGGGGGCCGGGACGCTTGCTTTTTTACTTGGGGGGCTCAGCGGCTCGTGAGGTGCCCGACGCCTAGATACCTGGCTTTATAGCTTCAGGGGTCTCCATAGCAATGGCTGCCCGGGAAGCCGGCTCTGCCGTCAGGACAGGGACGGACAGGGCGAGGGAGACCGCCCCTGACCCCCACCCCTTCGTGGGCCACGAAGTTGGGGAGCGGCTCCTCCTCCGCGCTCCCCTGGGAATGCGGCGGCGGTTGCGGGGCGGGGGCGGAGGCTGCTCGCCGGGGGCCACATGCACCCGGCGGGGCCAATCCTAAAGTCTGTCTTCTTTCCCCGCCCCCCGCCTCCGCCTGAGTCGGTACCCTCCGCTGCTTAGAAACTGGCGGGAGCTCCTGCCATCGGTTCTAGATTAAAGGGACTGGGACCCCACAAAGACAGAACTGGACAATACACGAGCTTGACTGGGGTGGGGGTGGAGGGGCAAGAGACAGGAGTAATTTGGGGTCTGAGGCATTTGTGCTCCGCACTGAGGGTGCTCAGTCTGGCTGATAACTGCCATCCAAAGTGCAGCGAATCAGTCACACACAATTGTGCCTCCCGCACACGCTCACTCAGAGCAGGGCGGGGGTGCGTTCTCCAACCTCAGACGTCTCCAAACCTGACAGCGCGCCCGCATGCCAGTTCCACGGGCGCTGTGGAGCAGGCTGACTAGACGCCTGTGCCCAGGGCAGGTGCCCTAGGAAGGACCTGAGAGTGCAGGCGTTAGGACTTTCCGGGAACTACCTCCCAGCCTCTCCAGGACAAGCTATGGTCCAGGAAAGGACAAAAGACAAAAGCAAGAATTCCTCCGCAGGGAAGGATTCTCATGAACATAAAATCATCTCTAGGCCACGGGCCTCTAGGCCTGACCCCTAAAGAAAGGAGAGAGTCTGAGATCCATTTTCAGTCAGATGTGTGAAAAAGCCTCTGGATAGCTTCTTCCTTTGGGGAACCAGCTGCTTGGCTGTGGGACAGGGCGGAGGGGGTGGGGAATGATACTGATGGCCTCCTCTGAAATGAGTTACAACGAATGCCTCACAGCTTCGCAGGTCCAGAGGGCATGAGGAGAGTTGGAATGGAATTTATGTGTCGAGTAAGTAAAGAGCTAGGGATTTTTTTTCCAGCTAGTAGAGTGTTTTGTCCAATATGCAAAAAACCGTTGGTTCCCACCATTGCATGAAACCAGATGTGGCACTGCACTGTAAGCCAGCACTTGAGAGGCAGAGGCAGGAGGATCAGAAGTCCAAGACCATCTCTGGCCACATGAGACCCCCAGTTTCAAACAAAGAAAAAGTGAACTACTGAATCAGCTACTGAATTTCTGAGATGTCATGAGCCCGTTGGTGTGTTTCCAGATGCACAAGCTGGATCCTGAAAGACATTCGCCTTCTCAGTAGGAAGACAAACCCAGGATATGACACGGGGCGGGGGGGTATTGCTTAAGGACTGCTACATACAAAACTAAGCCAGCCAGTGGAAGGAAGGGTGGACTGATGGGGAAGAGAGGGATCTGCGGTCTTCTCAGGACAGCAGCCAAAGCTGGCTGGTCCTTCAAGGATGAGTGCTGTTGGGCTGCTAAGCAATAGGAAGGCGGTCCAGACAGAGGGGTTACAGACAAGGGCACCTAACAGGGACAACTGTAGGGAACAGCATTGAGGGTTGTGTTCAGGGGTCCCCTGCTGTAAGAGACAGGAAACTCAGTGAAGAACTGAGGGGCCCCCAACCTGGGCAGAACAAGAATATGCTTTGTAGATGGCTCCTGAGACACAGGATTCCGTGAGGAGGGCTGTTGCTGCTGCTGGGAAAGGATAAAAGGCCCAGGAGCCGCCCCCCACCCCAGGGTGCCTTCTGGAACTCCATGGATTTGGACTAGACCTTAAGCAGGGACTCACATGCCATTGTCCCTTGAGGATCATGTACAAACTTCACCCTGTGAAATGAGCCCGCACACATTTCTTGGCACAAGAGCTAGGCCTGTGACATGTGTTAGCAGTGTCACTCCGAACCCGCACTTCCCCATTTTTAAGAGGCATGGCAACTCAGTCTGTTCCACACTAGACCAGGGAGCCAGTGTTCGAGAAACAGCACCACATCACTACTTAAGGGTAACCCTTAAAGTCTGTCCCACCTACGACCAGGAAGGGAACCGGGATGTTGTCCCTCTTGACTCAACAGAAGAAAGGCTTTTGTTCCTTTTGGACTCAAGTTTTCCCTGTCTGCATTAGGAGAGAAAACACGTTCTTCCCTTCGTCTGCATTCAGCATCAGGAGAAAGGCTGTGTGCTTCTAGGAGAAGAAAAGCAACAAAACCCAGGGCATTGCCAAGCCCTTCCACCCAACGGACCAGCTCAGCCCCTGCTGCCTGTGGTGGAGGGAAACAACTTCGGGGGTCAAGTCCCCTTCAGAGCCTTGCTGTGTCTGTGCCAAGTTCCCAGATGGGCAGTGATCCCAGGTCTCAGGCCCTACAGCCTCTGCTCTGACTTTCTTCCCTGGGTTCACTGTGTTCTGAACAGAAGCGAAACAGCAAAGCTGCAAAAAAGCTGAGACTCCACCGTGGAGCTCAGAGGCACCAGCAGCCGGAATTAGAAGCTGTCGCTGAGGGAGCTGAAGGCTGACAGGAGCAGGAGCTATGCTGGCAGGGGGCAGGCAGGCACTTCACACTCCTTCCCTCCCACCTGCCCAGCTTCTCCCCCTGCAGGCCCCAGGCTGGCAAAAGGGCTTCCTCCTAGAGGTGCCTCAGTCTGCAAGTCTGTCTGTAACTGCCCCTCCCCGCCCCCTCCTTTCCTCCTCAAGTGTCACCAGCCCCCTCATCCTGTCACATTGCACTAGCTAGCTCCTCAGGGTTGAGCCTAGTGGCACGTGCCTGGGAGTTGCAGGGAGCCGGGGTGTGTGTGTGTGTGTGTGTGTGTGTGTGCGCGCGCGCGCACCGCACTCAAGGGGTGGGGTGAGTCAGCAGAGGATCTGATTCTGAGTCAGCCAGGGGACTGCTAAGGGATGAGGACCCTTCTCCATGCAAAATAAATGGATCATGAGTGGAAAGGGGTCCTGGTGCTGAGGTACAACACGGATGGAGCCCAGGTGTCTTTCACCTGACCAGTGCCCAGGGTCCAAGGGACAGCATCAACTCTTCCTCTGTACTTCCCCTGTGACCAGAGATTAGCTTCTCTCCAAGGCCTAGAGACAGCATTTGCCCAGGGGGAGAACAGGTCCTTAGGCATCAAATTGAAAGCAGGCAAGTGGGTATCCAGACTACTTGAAAAGCCATTCAGAGGCCCCTTCAGGAGGCAGGATTGCACCCCCTTCCCATTCCTGGGCTGCTCACTTCCATCCTGGCCCGGCAAGAGGAGAACTGAAGGCAGTTTCTCCTTGCTCTGTAGGTTCATGGGTATTGACTGTGGCTATTGCCCAGTGGCTGTGCTGGTCCTGATGGATGCCCATGTACCTGGCTCACTGAGGTCCTCTCAGTCTGGATCCTAGCCCCAGGAAGTAGGAGGGAAGGGAAAAATAGGACTTCTGGAGTAGGTTAAGGTCAGGGCTTTGCTCTGGAGTGTAGATGTCTCACCCTGGTGGTATCCAATGTGGCTATGATGGAGAGGTTGGCTGACAAATTTCAGGCTTTAGCTTTACCCTGTGGTCAAGTACTGGTAGGGACCCCTGGGGACAGGCCCTGAGAGGGACAGGGGAGGGTGTCCCTGTTCATTTTCCAAGGGCACAGGTGCTCGAAGTTAATGGCATCTGTTGTAACGCTCAGATAAGAAAACAACCTCTTCCCAGAATCGCCCCACCCTGCCAGCCCCATTTGGGATTTGGGACGGAGCTGAAGGTGTGGTAAAGGGCTGCCCACAAACCCTGCCTCCAGCAAGAGCAAGAATCAACCACAGCAGAGGCAGGTCCCCAAGCACATGCTCACTCTAGCTCTTCCTAAAGAGGCCCTGATAACCTAAAGGTTTGGGGTTACCAAGAGGGCGGGGTGCACTTTTGTACTGGGAACTTCGGCACCAGCCCTGAGGGTGGAGACAAGGAAGGCCACATCTGTGGGGGAGTGGAGAAGGGGGAATGACATCATCCTCCAATGGCTCTGGCATCAGGGCCAACAGATGGGGAAGCAACTCCTGTTCCATGCCAGAGGCGGTCATTTTATGGGGCCTCAGAAGGCTCCCAGGGGACCCTCCCCATCCCCATCTAAGTAGCTTCATTTCAGAGGCATTCAGAGGCATTCCCCTGCTGTCTTTTCCTAACCTGAGAACAGAGGCCAGCCTAAGGCAGGAAATTCCAGGTTATGGTTCTTTGATAGGCATGGGAAGGAGAAAAATAAATAAACCACATACATCCAGGAAAGAAAACGATGGTGAACTCGGCAAGCAACCCGCCTGATAGGGCTGAGGTCCCTGATAGGAAATGCCGGACTGAGACCCAGAAAAAAAGGGTGAACCAAGTTCAGAGCAGGGAGAGAGAGCAGCAGAGAAGCTAGTCTCCCTTCAAGCTCCAGTGCTTGGGCAGCCGAGGAAACTCCATGCAGTCACCTTTCCCCACAGGCAGGAGGTAAGGGCAGGGGCTTTTGCTGCCATTCTGGAAGTAGCCATCCCTAGAAAGCTTTGGGGCAGTACCAGGCTCCGCCTTAAGGGGTTGGCAACACTCTGTACTCAAGGCAGGCCTGAGATGTGTCCTTAAGCCTGTGTAGGGTACCACATCAAGGCAGGAGGGCTTGGATCTAGCTCTGCGGGAGCCAAGAGTAAAGGAAAGGAAAATGAGCTTTCCTGGAAGGCCATTAGTTGCACACTAGGAAAGGCAGAGGGGGAGACCAGAACGCAGGTTCTTCTCTTAGTCCATACTCCTTTGCCTCCAATGAGCAATATAGGTGGCATGGTCAGCAGCCAGCTTAGAGAAAGACTTGGGTTCCAAGCGGTCTCTTGTCCTGATGGTCTCTTCTTCCTACCTTTATCCGGATGAGAAGGGGCTGCAGCATCCAACAGAGCCACAGGCTCCACAGTCTCTGTTATTAGGGTTCTCTTCTTCTAGGGAATGGGACCATGTCTGAGTGAGATGGTGGCATCAGAGACGGCTCTCCTGGGTGTCTGCTTTGTCCATGGGTAGTTCTTGTGGGCACAACTCCCTTGAGGCCTCACAGGCCCTCTGAGGCTTGTCCTCTGTTTCAGAGGGGAAGCAGGCCTTGAAGCAAGCCCTCACTGATTCCTTTACTTCAGTCTCCAGGC